AAAGGAAAAGAAAAAAAAACAAAAACAAAACAAAAAACTTTAAAAAAAAAAAAAACAAACCAAAAACCAAAAAAAAAAACCTATTACCCAAAAACAATGAAAGAGTCTTTGTTGGGCGGTGGTTGTGTGCAGGTTTTACATGTTTGAGGCGATTATGTGAAACTTTTTGAACAAACAAGATGTTTTTTGAAGGCCAAAACATTAGGAGAAAAAGAAAGAGGAGGGAGGCAAAAAGAGAAAAAGAACAAGAGTTCCAAAGGGAAAAAAAAAAAAGAAAAGGCAAAGACTAGGTTTTAGAGAAAAAAAAAAAAAGATTGTTTCAAGGAAAAAAATAAGAGCGAAGGGAAAAAGAAGAAAAAGGGGGAAACTGTTTACGATTTCCTCCAATTTTCACCTCTTTACTGCAAAGTTTTTTTTTTTTCTTGGTTTAATGGACGAGTAACTTTAAAAGAGCTTAACAAACAATTTACAGTACTGCCACTCTTAAAAAAAACAAAAAAACTTGGAGAAATCAAAAAAAAAACATTTAAAAGGCTTTACTTTTTAAAAAAAAGGAGACAAATGGCAAAAAAAAACCAGCATAAACACCACCAAGGAATGAAAAAAAAAAGGCAAAAAAAAGTCCAAAAGTTTTCAAGGTGTGTTGGTTGTTGTAAAAAAAAAAAAAAAAAGGCTTTTGCCTGTTGTCTTTTTTAAAAAGGGAAAAGGAAGGGGGGACTATGGGAAAAAGGTTCCTGAAAAAAAGGTTTGGAAAATAAAATGATGGGGGGAGTGACCATTAATTTTTTAGACCTGTTTTGCCAAGAAGAATTTCAAAAAAAAAACATTTTGCCCAACTTTATTTTCAAGCCAAGAAAAAAAACAATTTGAAAAAAACATTTTGGGCTTGGAAAGGGGCACTTCCACTTTGGGTTTTGGGAAAAGAATTCCCATCTTTCTACTGGGTCCATTGGTTAGTAGAAAACCTTGTTGAGAAAACAGCATTCAATGTATTTTTGCAGATAAAGAAAGGGTAAAACTCGTTTAGAATTGGATGTTTTCTTTTTTATGTCTTTTTAATTCAGCTTCAAAGCGTTTGAACCGTTTTTGAAAAAATTAAGGGGGCCAAAATTTGTGTTTGTTAAGTTTAAAAAAAAACTTGAATCTAAAATGTGTTTAACGGCCATTAAAAAAAAAAAAAAAGCTATTTGAAGAAAAGCAAATTATTTTATCCAACAGGAAGAGAAAAAAAACAAAACAACCTTAAATGCTTAAAAAATTTTCAATTCTGTTTTTGCTTTAGCACAAGTTTTGAAAGCTTTGTTTTTCAATTGTTTACTAAAGGTTTGCATTATCTTTTTTGAAAACCTCGATTTGAAAAATAGCCAAAAAGTTATTACTGTCAAAAAGTAGGATGGTCACAACAAAAACTGAAATCATTTAATCAATAAATGCGGGACTTTTCCGTTTTGGCGTTTTTTTAGAAAAAAAAAAAATTTTTAAAAAAAACCTGATTGGATGTTTTTCAATTGTGATGGTTTCAAAATTCAGGGTCTTCAACTTGTTTTTGAATACGGACCACTGTTTTAAAAAAAATTAAGAATAGTTTGTTTTTCGCTTACGACTAACTAACAAAGGTGTGGCATTTTTTAATTTAAATTTTTTTTGGCCGGTGCTTTTTTAAGGAAAATTTAAAAAGTTACGTTTTTTTTTTTTTGCTTTGTGCCATTTCTTTAAGGGGCCTGGAAAAAAAAGGAACAGGGGATAATCACCCTCTCTTTAAAAATATTTAAAGTATCGTCTCTTCACCACTCGTAACTCTAATATTATATTTAACTTTGCAAAAAAAAATGTAATTTTGGGTTGGCGAGTTAACCCCCTTTTAAAGCTTTTCTGGTTTTTTTCTTATGGGACTTCCTTTCATATCATTGAATATAAAAACAATGTTTTTGTTTCTTTTCGGTAAACAAGTATTAATTCTTTTTACACAAAACAAAAATTTTTTTGTTGATGTTTTCAAACTAAAAAAAAAAAAAAAAAAAGCCCACTAGCAATGTTCAAATTTGGGGAAGAAAAAGAGAAAAAATGTGTGTACGGGCCGCTCAAAAAAGAAAACCTTTTTTCGATAAGGACCTTCTTTCGGGTCTCTTGATCCAGTCCACTGCAAAGCAGAGTCAGGAGGGCCTTGTTGTTAATTTTTGTTTATGGTTTTTTTTTTCAGTTGCCAATTTTTTTCAAAAAAAAAAAACCAACTAAAAAAGGGGGTGAAAAACATGTTACGCTTTGTGGTTTTTTTGCCAACAATGTTTTCAAGGGGAAAGTGGGGTAGAAAAAGTCTTGTGCCAACTTTGTTGAAGGGAGGCTTTTTGAATGGCCAAACAAAGCTTGGGCATCAAAAGAAGGAGTTTCAAACAAAAAAAAACCACCAAGAACGATCCACATTTTACTGGGACAAAAAAAGAAAAAAAAACCAAAAATTGGAAGAAAAACAAAACCATTAGAAAAAAATTCATGTGGATTAAAAGATTTCTGAGTTACCTGGATTTCCAATTTTTATTGTCTTATTAGTTTTTAAACTCCCAATTAAAGCTATTTAAACAAAAAAAAAAAAAGAAGTTAAAAAAAAAATAAAAAAAATGTTGGGCTTTTGGAAAAAAAGTATTATTTTAAAAAAAAACTTAAAAAATCAAATTAATTAACCCTGGGATTCCATTAATTTTTAGGTATTTAAAAAAATGAAAGTAAAAATGCCATTTTCTTTTTTTCTCGGTTTTCCAAATGTATATAGAAGAAAAAAAAAAAAAATTTAACAAAAAATCTTGCTCTTTTAAGGAAGCTGGTTGAAATAAAAAAAATTCATTCTTAAAAAAAAAAAAAAACTATTTTGGGGGGAGTTCAAAATTAGGATGCCACCCACAAAGTCCATTTTGCTTGTTTTCTTGAAAATTTAAGGCAAGGAAAAATCTTTATTTTTGTTTTTGTAAAAAAAAAAAATAGTTATTTGTGACCCTTTTAAAAAAAAAGCAAGTTAGGCCAAGAAAAGGTTCTATGTTAGTGTTTTTAAAGGGGCAAAAACAAATATTTTCGAATTTCTTGAAAAAAAAAAAATTAAGGGAAAAATTCTACCAATCAGGTAATTTAACCCAAAAAAACTTCGGTAGTTATTGTAATTTAAAGGATTTGTTTGTGAAAAAAAAAAAAAAAAAAAATGGTGCTTGGCAGTTTCTATTTTGGTGATTTTTAACTTTTACTAAGTAAAAAAAACATTTAAACCTTTCTTTAAAATGAGGGGGGACCCACAAAAAGAGACGGTTTGCGCCAATAAAACAAAAAAAAAGTTTGGTTTTACAGATGGCAAAAACCACTACTGCAGGGGGACAAAGTCTTTAACCTTTCCACTTTTTGCTTTTTAAACCTTGAAAAAAAAAAAAAAAAAACTTCTGGCTTGCAAAAAAGTACAGTGGACAGATTTGGTTTTAAAAAACTTTCAGACATTGGGTTGTTCTTTGGCTTGGAAACGTCCATTCCAAGGTGAACAAGGGCGGAAACCATCTTTAAGGGGAAAAAAACTGTTCCCTCAAGAAAAATTCCAAAAGACTGTCTTCCACCGCTGCCCTCTACAAGCTACGGACTGCGATTTTAAAAAAAAAAAAAAAACAGGCCTATGGTTTTAAGGAACAAAGAAAGCAAAAGCCAACTTTTTCCCTGGCAACTTTTTTTGTCAAGTTCTTTGAATTCAACCCAAGGGCAAGGCATTGAATGTTCAAATCGCATGTGTGGTGACCTATTTAGTTATACAAAGTTTGCACGCCATAATACCTGCTGCTGCACGGGAGCTATTTTCCAAGCCTCGTCCGTTCCTTTGACCTTTAAACAGCGTGAGAGTGGGTGACATGAGTGGAAGCTCCATAAGATGCTGGAGCGGATCTGCCTTTGAGAGACTAAGCATGTGTGTGCGTTGCTTGTGTGCTTAGTTCTACCCAAGCACGTTTTATGACTGCAGTTGTGGAGAGCATGCGTGAGAATTATGGGTTAGCAGCTTATAGCTGCATTTGTGATGAAATCTGCCTCTGCCAAAGTGCCGTTTGCTGTACCGGGCTACTCACAGAACTTAGCAAATGGGAGCATCCATTTGGGCGAGGCAACCCTTGACCGAGTTAAGTTCTGCGACCTGAGTGGGTGCGGACAGGCTTGCTTGGGACGGCTCGCCTTGGCTCCGACGCTCCGGCACATGCGCCTGGACCCACAGGATGCGGTCCTCTGTCATCGTCGCTGCGCCGAAGATCACAGTGTGCGCCTTCCTCACTGCATGAGAAAGCCCTTGCCACCATCCAAGCCTGAGACAACAGGATAATAAAGAGCAAGATAGTTCAGCGCTTCACAGCTTACGTGTGTGACATGGACGTGGTATAGTAACAGCAAGTCTAGGATGTCCCGTCTTACCTGGCTCGGGGGTCACTGTAGTCCACAGTTCATACACCAGTCCAGCTGCGGCAGCCAACTCTGTTGCGGGTTTCTGGACACTTTTTCTCTCTGTAGCTTCCCACATGGCCAAACGTGTACTGACTCACCTACAACCCACAGAGGATTAGTGATCAATCTTCAACCAGCCATGGAAAAGCCTTTGTATGTACGCCAGTAAAGTATTGATGTTAACATGAAGATTGTACTAGAAAATGGTCAAGAACATTTTCAAATCGACACATTTCAGTTAGCATGCCTTTTTGCACTATCCTGCATAGGTGGTATAGCGTATATCGATATACTATATATAGTATAGTAGATAAGTAGGTACATACTAGCGTATATATATATATATAATGCTTATATATATAGTACGGTAATAGGTACGTAACTGAGTATAAGTATATATAGACAGTACCAGGTCAGGCAGTACATAAATGTATTAATTTCCATTTCCATTCAAAATCATTACTAAGTATGCAACAAGGAAGAACAGAAACAACCTCAACACTAACACTAAACACTCTTATTTTGTGCCCACCTGCACAAGGACAAAGAAACGCTTCTTCCAGCGCTTCCAAACATTCTTTCCAAAAGCCCAAAGATACCTGTCAAAACATTGTGCACAAACAAGGAGACAAAACGCAGTCTGCATGTCACAACAAAAATTAAGGTAATTTGTCGGCATAACTAGGGCACAGAAACTTTGCTAAAGAAAGGAGAAAAAGTTAAACCAAATTATTTATATGAAAAAGCTTCATAAATTAAATATGATTAATGTTGTCTTGAATATTTTAAGTTTCTTTCAGCCACCTCTCATGTAAAAGAAAATCCAAACTACACACTGGCATCCACCAGGGGGAGTAGTGCACTTCACAGTATTTTTCCATGGTACGTGACTAGAAATGAGGCCAAGGAGCTGAGAGGGGCTGGAGTTCTTAAGAAAAACATGGAAAATAAAAGGCACACAGGAACGTCACTACAAAGCTTTCTTGGCAGCGCATCTCTTACCCGCAGTGTTTCATGTTCTGAGGTTTGTCCATACGTATGGCCAGTTTGATCCTCAGATCTTGGTCGGGGCACGCCTTGGTCACAGTCATCTTGTGGAGCTCTGACTGCTTAGGGCTGTTAGGAGTCGGGTGGAGGACGACCTGCACTCAAATGAAAAGGACAGGATAAAGTGAGACTCCATAATCCAGAACATTCATATAGGAGGTGAATCTTTGGTCAGTGAATGTGCAAGGGAATGTGATTATGTTTCATTAAGAGAAAGACTAAAGCGAGTCAGGGTAAAGAAACAGAACAGCACTTTGCTCTGGCTCCCCGAAGAGGGGGCCTAATCTTTCTTTGCCGAGTTAAAGAGCTTTGAGGAAGCCTGCTTTCCTGCCAACGCTAATGCAGTGGGAGATCAAAGAGCCTTGTCACAGCCAAGGTCACTGCCACTACAGGGACGTCTGAGGCGTTTCTGCCCAAACGCAAACCAGCAAAACCACCATCCTTAACCATTGATCACAGCAACCTTACATATTCACACCTCAGGGAAGTGCGTGTGAAGAACTATTTATGCTCTCTCTGAGTTGGAGGAGCAAAAGACTTAATAATTCTAAGATCGTAAACATGATATTAAAAACATTTTGTTCAGGCTTCTTCTTTTCTCATTAGAGAAGTTCTGCTGCATCGTTCTCTCACATAATTCCAACACAAGCGTTATGTGAAAGAATCAAAAAGTGAATCAGAAGTGTTTGTTGGAAGCACAAGCACACCAGAATGTGTTGCTCCATCTGACAGTACTCGCAAGAAATCAAAACTGATAAAATGCCCCGGGACTAGAGCTCTGTTTTTTGTTTGTTGCAAAATACATTTTGACGACCTCTTATTGAACATACAAAAATATTAAATATTAAAGGTTATGTCTGAATCAGATGCAAGTGTTAGTACACTGGAGACTAAGGTGAGCTTATTAATATCCAAATGTCAATTCATTTTGTCTGAACGCTATACAGTGTGATGTAGACTAATGTAGCCTGCCATTGGCCGCCTTTTTCCACTCTCCTCATAATCGCTGCCTGCGCTATTTATTTGGCAAGGGCACTAGCAGATGATATTGATTGGTTTTAAAAAAAATAAACAAACCAGAGCATTTTTTCCCTCTGTTATAGAAGTATAATGGCTTCAACCTGACTTTTCTTGACATAGCTTTGTGGATATAATGCTTGCGAGATTAATTGTTTATGTATTTTTAAAAGCAAAGAGGTTTACTTGCTTAGTGTGGTGTTAATTTATTTGACATGTGAGTCTTAATACAGCATTGTTGGGACTGTGTGGAAATCAGAGTATTTGTTGTGTGAGTAAAACAAAACAAATGGATGTGTTACCCTTCCCAATTCTTTGTCTTCCAATGCCAGCACCCCAGTGCTCTCGGTAAACAGTTTCACCTTGACACCAGGCAGAGGGTGTGTGGTGGTGAAGTCCCCTTGGGTGCCCCAGCTGAAACACACAACAAAGACACTCCAGAGGTTAGCTTCCATGGCAGCGTGGTAGCACAGAGTTCACAAACACAATGACTTAATCTCCTGCAATCATCAAATCTCTTTTACTCATCATAAAAGTGTGAGTTAGTTATTCAACTGAAATAACATTAAATCAGTCAGTAAACAAAACAAATAATAATCAAATCAAAGAAATAAAATCTCAGTTTTGACAAGAAAACAAATCCACAAAATAGCGGCTGACGGTTTTCCAACCACAGGGATTGCAGTCTACAACAGGGGGAGCATTACATTGTGTATACACACACACAGATGCACAAACCACAGTATATTTTTTATCACAGAAGAAAGGTAATAAGTGACAGACTGGAAATAAAAGAGAAACACTGAGTTACAGTATATTGAAGTCTAGGCAAAATCCGTCTTGCTTTCACACTTGGTTGAAATGCATTCCTGTTAATAAAAATACCAGACATCTTTAAAGCTGCACTTGGCAATATTTTTATAGAACAAAACACCCGTGTTCTCAGCCAACATGACTTTCTGCGTCTGCAAAAGAGAGATGCCACAGACGAGCTAAAATTAACTTCTGCTGTCAAGTGTATTGTATTTGAACCCTGTATCCGAGACTTGCCTCAAAAGCAATACGCTGAGTAGAACATATTTTATACACAGAGGTAAACCAAGTTAAAACAAACTGAAAATATTTGTAATGCATTATCAAATGTCATAACATGAAAAAACTGATTAGGTTGCATTGTGTAATTCATTGCCACAGGCAGCAAAGAAATAGAGGTCAGCATGACCCCAAGAGGAGACAAGCTTAAAGGATAGGATCCCTTTTTACTTTTCACGTATCTACTTACATTTATATATCCGTGTCACAGTGTTTGGTTTATTATTGATTTAAAAAAAAAAAGGTGACCCTATCTTTTAAGAGCAAACCGTTAATACTCAATCTCAATCTCACCAAAAACGCCAGTAAATGCTGTTTACTGTAATGTTACACAACATGTATCGACTCTCTTTTCTTCTGGCTTTTGCAGCCGTAGCAAACATAATATAAACGCCTGCATTCCTTTTCTATAGTAATGTATGGAAGACATGGTGTCAATTTCCAGCCTTGGAAAGCTGTTTTTCTTGTAACCGTTTCAAACATGTATAATGGATAGCTACTTAATGCACTCAAAGAGACTGCAGTCCTGACATGTGCAGAGCAGAGAAGCTGCTGACTGTCAGCGAGGAGCTGGTAGTGCGCTGTGTTCATTTTTAATGGAAGCATTGTCCTGGCATGAAGGTGACCTTGTGGATCGATCTGAGGTCTATTAATGGATGTAACAGTGTTGTGCTCCCACAACTGTTCAAATACATGAAGCTCTCTGTGTGCTCAACTGGGTCAAATAAGAAAATGAATGTCAGAATCACAAAAGAATAAGAGGTAATAATTATTGAGGCGATGTTAAGAAAAACAACCTTTTTATTCATTTATTAAAGTTAAGTATAAAATCACAACAGTAAGTGTAATGTCTGAGCACAGAGTTAGAGAGCATAAGCAATTATGGTATGCAAAAAACCTGTGGTAGTATGTACATCAATACATGTATTTCATGTGTGTTTCTGTGTGTTTTTACTGTGTGTACGTACCCACACACACACATATTACTCTCGCCTTGTTCTACTCTAATCCTCTCTCGCATTCATGTCCTTCCCTCTCTCTCATACTCTCTTCATAAAATGGCTCTTGAATTAAGGGGATCAGAGGAAGACGTTTGGTCCTTAAAATAGCTTGTATTTGCATGAATGTTTCATGGACCTCTTCTCTTGTATCTTGTGCTATGCAATACTGATTAATTAGATGAGGAAAAAAGGTAGATATATTTAGCAGAAGTTATATTCGACTACACCAGGAAACCATCATGGTTATGGATTTAGTCTAGAATAAAAGGGAGTGAAGTATTTTAGGATATGTGTAAACTGCTGGGACTCTCAAAGAAAGGAAGGGAATTTACAAACTATGTTATTCCCTTTCATGCTCGACATACAATTACACATGAATTCTCACAACTTGGTCAGCTGAAATTCAAATTATTCAGTAAAAAAAAAGGGTTTTGGTTTCAGCTGTGTATCATGAATGTGTCAAGGAAAACAGAGAGAGGAAAGATTTTTGCTTTCCCACAGGTACAGTATAGAGGGTCTGTGATCAAGGCCAATCATAGTACTACACAAAGTCTGTATTAAAACTAGATTTGAGATGAAGTGCAGATACAGGTTAGGTGTATTCTAACTGCAAGAACTCTGGTCCCAATAATAAATATGTTTGAAATAGAAACATTGGAAAAAGGGAAAATGTATGTTTAGCACGGCTGCACAGTCCCATTTATCTTTAAATACAGTGCATCAAAAGCAAAGTGCCTTTGAGAGTGAATGACGCATCAGAGAAACCAATTTGCGCACCATAATCAAAAACCCACTGTGATGCAGTTTGGTATAGGTTAACACTATTTTCTTGCAAATGGATTTCAGCAAGGGCATTTGAAGGTTTTCCCAGGAGGCACAAAGGATCATTAAATGAATGGTGCAAACTCTTATCAGTGCATGTTTTAAATAAACAGTTTTAAAATATGGAGGGATATAAACAATTATTCATATAAAAATGTCCCTTTGGATGAAATTAATAATCAAAAAAAGCCTGTAAATTATCGGCAGTAGTGCAATAACTGAATGTGGATAAGATGAAAGAAATGAAACAAGGTTAGGAAATGAAATAATTAGGAAATGTAAAAGTATATACAAATATATTCTGACACTCAAAAGGTCAAATTTTGGCTGCAAAACATAATTACAAACTATTTTAAATGTATTTAAAAACTCCTACCTGATACCAGAAACTCAGCTGAAGCAGTGCTGATGGAAACACTCGGTTGATAATGCCTGTTTTCATATTATACCATATTTACCATTTGTACAAATAAAAAAGCCCTATTTATTTTATTCTGGGATAATTATTTGGAGTCTTAACTGGCTCATGTGTTTAGCTTTGGCTGCCAAATGCAAACATAATCGGGTAAACTCACCAAATCATCAAACAATGTGCTGGAGACATTTGGCAGGACTTTTTTTTCAGGTTTTTCTCTGTAGTGAGAATCTATATCTATATATTCCTCACCACAATAACTGAAACAGCTATTAGCTATCAATATGGGAAAAGCAGCATCATCTGATTCTTTTGATTTTTTTTATAAAACAAATGTTCAGGGCCTTACGTTGGCTTGGATGCCTCTGCCTGGTCGGTCTGGAGTTTCTCGCCTCCCTCCACCTCCATGGTGCAGTAGACAATCCTGTTCGGAGCCAGAGACTTCAGCCCCACCACTTCCATGATCACCACCTAGAAAACACCAAAAACACCTCAGTGAAGTTTGCAGACGAGAATGACTCATCTTTTGAAACCGGCCATAGAGCAACACGTCGAACATGGATGTGAAGGCGGCAAATCCTTCAGTTTGACAGAAATGTAAGAAATACTTTGCCAGCCACAATATCAATTTACACTTTCTGCCATTGCCCTGATATTAATAAAATGTAGATTTTAGCAGACTTTCTACTGGAACAGCCCATAAGAATGATGGCCGTCCTTTCTGTAGAAACGAGTCTCAATGCTCAATCTGCTTGTGGGCATACTCTTACACGTCTTTAATCGCTCATTGAATACAATATAATACTAACAGTGCCAGGAGTCACTCTCATATTGTAGCAGTACATTCTAAGTGGGAAACCCAAAGGCAGAAATATGTGCTGTCAGGGAAATGCATCCACTTTGAATCAAAGCATCCACCACCACATCCACTAATGTCTTTGTCTGGTTGCCAATATATCAAATTATAAGGCGAGGAATCTCTGTCTGTCTTTGTCTGTCTGTTTTATGTCCTCGGAAAATCTGGAGAGCTGTTCTGGGGGGGGGTCCCAAGCAATATGGTGTATGTTAAAAGAAATGCTTAAAGACTGTACTCGAGATTATTTCAACGTGGTTCTCAAAAAAAGTCCAACCGATTACAAAATAAACACATCTCAATAATAGCGAATTGCCGCTAGTTTGCAAATAATTTCAGCATTTATATATATTTATATAATGTGTGCCCACTAATGTGTGATAGAACAGAAAAAACTGTGTCATATTATTTGCACATTAAATATTGACTGAATCTGAAATAGCACTGCATCATAAGAAATGAGGTGCGACTGCTCCCCGTTCTGTGTTAGCTCATCCCAGACAAGCTGATAACAAGATGACTCATATTCCCCATTAAGGAGCAGGTAAAAGGGTTTGTGTGGGGGTGTGTGTGTGTGTGTGTGTGTGTGTGTGTGTGTGTGTGTGTGTGTGTGTGTGTGTGTGTGTGTGTGTGTGTGTGTGTGTGTGTGTGTGTTAGTCTGTTCTTCACATAGCGTCTGTTCCACCCTTCGAACAGGTCTGCTGTCTGTTTCTATACTTAGTCTCGAGCAGACAAGTAGTCGATGACAGCTCTGATTTATGAGATCGTGTATAGCCAGCTGTAGTTTCATTAAGTTTAGATATTCTGGTGAAATAATGTTTGCTCTATCTTGCTATATTTAGAAATACTGGGATGTACTCGACGTCATAATTATCAAAACTTTGCAACTTTTCACATTTGACTTGAAATTCTAGACAGATTGCCAATGCACTTTACCTCCAAAGTGAAGGACAGAACCACATCAGACTTGGACAGTGTGTTCTCGTCCTCCTGGCCCATGTCGATGATGGAGGTATTGTGTCCCCGTTTCGTCTTCTGGAGTTTGAACTCCCCTCCCTTGGACACTGGCATGCTCTCCAGATTAGCCATCAGCTGGTTCACTGAGGACTTAAGCTCCTCAATGAACATGGCTTCCATTTCTTTAGACACAAATTTGGGGAACTTTCCACCCTGTTGGAAAAAAAACAGAAAAACTCTGGATGACAATTAACAATTAGGTAAACATAGGAGAATCCAAAATGCTGAAAACATCACTGTAGGTGTCTACTTTCCTCTTATGACAGAAGTATAGTGCAATTTGTAAATATGCATTCTTTGGAAATGTACAATCTCTTCAGCTGTTGGTGGAAGCTCCCACAGTGATGTTTACACCACAGTGTTGACATGTTAACTATATAACAAAGCATATTAAACAGTCCCCCGTAGAGTCTGACTCACCCTGGCAATCTGGTCTGCCATCTGAAGACGACCATCCAGCTCTCTTCTGATCTGGGCAGCCTGCTCATCCAGGTTGTCCAACTATTGATACAAAGAGAGAAGCAGGTCAATGAGGTCGCATCAAGGGCCAAGATATACTTAAGTACCAAACAAGGGTCAGTGACAGTGTCAAAGGTCAACAGCTCCCAGCTTCATTATCTGACCATGACAGATGAAACCTTCAAGAAATCCTCAATTAAAACACATAATGCAATGTACATACACAACTGACAATGCATGTTCAGGGTTTTCGAGTGTGTATTTTATTAATTCAATTTAATTATCAAATTAAATGATTTCCTGATAATTCACTCAGTGGATGCTGAGATAACTGCCTCTTGTGACCTGCACATAAATGAGTCTGTATAGTATAAACCTAAATAATGGAACGATGCACATTGTGATGACTAGTTACCTCCATTACCAAGTATCACAACATTTGTCAACTCATGTTTGTTGTGGACATACGTGGAATCATAGGTTTCTGCTTTAACAGCAAGATGTTAAAAAAGCAAGTGGTGGACACAAAGAAATGTGTTGCATACATATTGAATCCAGATCCCCCCTGTGAAGTTACCGACAGCTGGAGCCTCTATAGCGCAATGTTTTCAGGAAGGTGTGAAATCAAGTGACAATAGCCAACCAATTACCTTGGGCAGAGAAAAGGAGCCGGGTTCAGAGGTTTTAAAAGCTCATTTATTCTAACTTCACACCTATTGCCTCAATTGATGTCGCCTCAATGGACATCATATGAGGCACATGATCAGACTTAGCTTGACTCACTCTGGAGCAACACATAGCTTAATAAATGTGAAGTAGTCCCTCACCTTTAAACAGAACTTTAAGTTAAAATCCATAAAGCTCCCCATTAATACTTCCTGTGAACTAAAGCAGTATTTGAATTACCTATATATAAGCTAACATGTGACCATTACATCTAAAAGGTGATCCTTTTATTTGGTATAGATGAATAAAGGTATAGTGGGCTGCAATCATAGCAGCATGGTGTGGCAGCACACATGAACAGAGCAAAATCAAAAGGTAATTCATCAATCACTCATAGGAACCATCACCATAGAGACCCTGAATGGAACACTGTTTGCAGAGAGGTATTTTAAAAAAGTGTTTGGAAATGTTTCATTTCCATCTTGATTTCAATCAGAAGAAGAAATGTTAACATTCTGAAAAGGTTGAGCTGAGAGAGGGGCAGTGAAATAATTTATACAAATGAAATGTGTTCTCAGGGCTAAGGAAGAGCTTTGACTTGAATGAGTCATTCCACACTGTGTTGGCACTATATGAGACAAAACCAGTGGTAATGTAATTTCTTGAAAATGTTGGAAAAACGGCCTTCATTGGACAATAACTGGGCGAAGATGTCTGACATCTGTTAGCCTAGTTTTTGCCCTGGAGTAATGAAATGCAGAGAAATTCACAGCTCTCTCACATCAATAATGAACGAGAGTTTTATATTAGCTGACACAAGGAAATGAAAGAGAGGGTTGACATCTCTCTCCTGCTCTCTGCTTCTATATGCTTCACATCTCCAGTTATTCTCTCAGCCAAAATGGCTCATTCTTGTCAAATGTGATGTTGTGACTCACTAGTCACCACCATTTCCTCTGAGGATGGGAGCCTAATTGAGACAGAGTATCTGCAGCACAGTTGTGAGACCCTTGGAAGTCACAAACCTTTCCACACAGGGTTGTTGTGAAAGTTTTGAGTGAAAAATGAAAATGTTCTCTCACTCGGGTGATAATACATTGCAAAATCCATGAAGTTTACACACAAAATGTATTTTAACAGGGGGAAAACATATATTGCTTTAGTTTTCATAAAGGATATATTCCAGTTGGGTTTTTCATAGTGGACGCATGAAAAACTGAAAATGTGCAGTAGAAATATGGCAACTTGAGCAAAAGAGCCTTAATCTGTTTAACAATTTTACTAAGAAAAGTCATCCACTTTTTATTATTTATGAGTTTATATCTGCTTCAATTCTGTAACTTTTCTTAATTGGAATAAATTCCAAACAGCAAGGAGCGGAACCAGGGTGAGTTTCAATGTGAGCAAAACACACTGTTGACTTCAATGCAACGGGTAAATGTTACATTTTGAGGAGAAAAGGGTTGTTTTGCATTAAAATGTATTTATTTTTTATAAGTGTCTGTCTTCACACAAGGAGTTAGCATAGTTTTTTGGCAAAACAACTACCTGAAACATTTTAGTTTTCTAAATTTAGTATTAATAGTACTGTGCAAGTCAAATAAGAGATCAACTTTTACAAAGAAACAACATGAAATATTACCCCAACGAAGGAGAGCTAGCCAAAAGACTTCTAGGAATGAGCATAATGTGAGAGAGAGTCATCCCTGGACAGCTGTATGGTTTCTCCACTCCAACAGTATCCCTGATCTTTGTGATACAATGCCTTAAACTCTTCTAGTCTCCTTCTGCACGCATGCCAGAGCTCACCTCGTGGTGCCTTATGATATTTCACCCACTATAACAGCTAGCCACTAAACAGCCACCCTGCTACATAACCCAGAGTTCCTGTTTAGTAGAGCACATAATCAGACTTGCCACCAGCTGCAGCAGAATGTCTGCACTTGCAGCACAGTAGTACTCAGTACTGTTCTGCCACACAGGGACACTTAAACAGTGGTAAGCACCCTGCTGTAGGAAGTCTCACACGCAAGAGGTTTCCCCTTTTCATTGCCATGTCCAAACAGCAGAAACCAGATTCACCCGCATCCATTACTGTGACTGGTAAAGATTGCCTTCCTGCCTGAGCCGTGCCTGAGCATAACCTTTCCCCCCTGCTGCTGGCGATCTGTGCAGCCTGTCAAAACACTCAACAGCTCTGCGCACTATTCGGACTGCGGTGCCAGCGACATCTGACTTGCGCAATCCCAAAAGAACTGTCACTGCCATGCCTGGAAATCCAGCAGCTTGGCTTGTCTGTGTTTGACACTGCATTTTTATTGTCTCATATTTGTGCCTCGCCATCCCACAAAACACAACGGGCCTAAATCCATATGTCCAGGCAATTTTACACACTGCAAAACCTGCATACCGAGTACTGCAGCAGCAGATCATATTGGTCATTGTGACTATGTGTTGATTCGAGCTTGTCGGCAAAATGGCTAACATGAGAGGAGTCACTCTGAAGCATGTAATGCGAAGGGGGGATGGGGCCAGTTTCTTCTGTTAGTCCCATCTCTCTTTACAGCAGTGAAAGGCAAATACAGCCTTGGCAGTGGGAGGAAGTAGAGCTGGAGGTCAGTGTCTGTGTGAACCAAAAGCCACCCCCTACTGAGCTCCTCAGCACCCCAATCTTATCAAACCTACAACTACTGAAAGGTCACTTTTGTCAATGGCCCACAGGCTCGATATGGGTGGACAGGCAACCCCATATAAAATGAGGCTGGCTAAAAGGTAAGTTTCTCTCTACGTTACTGAAGCTGACAGCAGCACGGCAGCTAAATAAAGGTGACAACGCCTCAGTGTTAGCCAAACTGACAGAAGTTCAAAGGTGATGGAGCAGAAGCAGGCGGGTAGTTAACAGCCCAGCTGATGACAGATCCCCTGGTGGATGCTGGGATATTAGCAGCAGATAGCACAACCAGCCAGGGGCGGTTTCTTATAGAGAACAAAGGCTGGGCGGACAGGGCTACATTGGAGCTGGATGGGACGTGGAGGAGTTGAAGCAGCTGGTCTATATTTAGACTTGCTGTGTGTGACTATGTGTCTGTGTGTGAAAAAGTGTGCAGTGGGAAAGAAAGCTTTTCTTGTATAGCGACCTGAAAGGCATGCTAATTAGGAAATGTGCTAATGAGTGGATATTGTAAATAATTTTCCAACATGGCATCTAACATCTTAATCTACTCAAAGAAAATGTCTTCAGTCTAGTGGAGAGATTTAGTTTATTTGGTCCTTTGATCTTATTGATGAATTAGATTAGCAGGTGTAATGTGAAGAGTAACTCATAGGGAAAAATAACTACGCTAACTACAGTTCCCTCCAGCTACAGAACATTGTTTCGGTCTTACAGTTCATCCCTTTATTTATTAACTCTCACCAGCTTGAAGAATAGTGATTTGTTTAAGACAAACTATGACAAATACAAAGGGTAAATCTTTTCATTTTACCTTACAGAAATCATTGTCTTTCAAACCAAGTCCATGTGCGCGTCAAGCTTCACCCTGCGTTTCAGCACCACTGATTTACAGCCTAGAGGTGGCAGGCAAACTCTCCCAATCCTGTGTGCAGTGAAGAGGTTCCATTACGCAATTATATCAGCTACAGGCTAAACCAGGCAGAGCTCAGGACTCAATTCCCAAATAACTGTTGCTGACGAGACATTTAAAGAAGAAAAGTCTGTTAGTTGGGGGGAGGGCATGATTTATAGCTCATAGGGGGGGGGGGAATGTTCATGTGCTTTTGCCTTGCTTTTTCTCCTAGTAATTTAATCATCCATTTGAGATTAGTGAAAAATTGTAAATCCACTGGTGTGAATAAATATCAATGATTAAAACACCTCCACCAATAAACTGCAGACACAGATAAGCAGATTAATCAATATATAGACAGAAAATAAATCAACTATAGTTGATAATAGTTGTTTCTGTTATTTTGTAAGCAAGAACACCAAACATTCACATGTTTTTTTAAGAATGAGATGTTTGTTCTTTGTTATCCATAATAACTTGGGTATATTTTAGTCATGGACTGCTATATTTGGCAACTTCCCTTCTGACATTTGCATTTTATATAACAAATTGATATGAACACACACTGGACTGAATATGAAAAGTTAATGCTAGCTCATAGTCATAATGCAAAAGAACTTGCTCTACAAATGCAGTCCTGCAAAGCTTCTTATGGTAATTGTTTTGTTTTTACTTAGGCCTAGCATGGTTGACACTGAACCCCTCTTATCAACCAAACAAGTACATTCATTCTCCAAAGATCAGGAAACCGGAACTGGAGCAGGGAACTCAATACGTTGCGTTATAAGGAAACATTAGCAAATCTTTGAGAGAAAATAAAACGTGACGTATTTTAATCCGTTTTTCTGCAGCAGGCCTTAGTTAAAGTAGTGATCCATATGACAGTGCGCCTACCCAGGAATAGAGTACAGCATTTCCGGCGAAGGGTCAAGCGCGGGCGGCGCACGGAGTGGAATTTAAATGTTTGATTTGAACGTCGGCTTCGCCCATTTTGCCCCGGGCAAACAATGTAGGCTAGTGCAGAGCAGACAGTAAACATCTGTGAGAACTCAAAATACAGTCGATGATGCTATGCGATGGTGGACCCCATGGTAAATAACTCTAGCGTGTATTGTTTTCCCAAAGGTTTGCGTAGAGTAGCCTACGCTGTCTAACCGAATAATGCAGATAACGCTACGCAAGTGGTTTACTCGCAGTTGCTGGAGACCAAAGCAGAGGTTAAAGAATAGTTAATATCGGACTTACATTCTTCAGATAGCCATGCGTTTGACTTTAAATACATGTTAATGTTGCTCCTTGTCTTCTCGGAATGATTAGGGAATTACGCAAACTCGTCTAGCAAGCTGGCCGCTGTTTTTTTTAACTCTATCTCGTTTATGGAGTACTTCTGCCCCCTTTTGGCTAAGAGAGAATAATGCGTAATTGAGAGAAGACTATAGTTGTAGTCCATATAATAGTTACCTAATACGACTGTAAACATATTGACATTTTACACAACCTGTTTAATGTCAGTATCTGTTTTGCACTGGTCAAACTGCAGTATTTTGGTTGGAGGATCTGAGAGATAGATAACAGTTATATTTAAATGTTAAGAAAAGTATAAGCAACATTAAAAGTGGGCGGGCACTAAGTTCTATTAATAAAGCATAAATTATGGTTTACCCAACTGTTTTGCTACAGAGCCTGGTTATGCTTGGTGTTGCCACAGCTACATTGCTGCAGCCATCAGACAGTGAGGATGCTCAGAGCAGGCTGGTGCAGCTACCAGTCTGATGAGTCTGTTAGTAATTTCCAGAGGCTGTTCATGCTGTAGCATGACACAGCAATAGACCAGTGCTTCCTTTCTAATATGTGGCTGTAACTGCATGAAACGTAAATCCCCAGCAATAACAGTTAAAAATGATGGCCTCTGAATCCCAGCCAATCCATGAAAACCTTTCATCAACTCCCAGCAGCCGGGCCCATGCTGACTAGATTGCTGCATATCGTTTGTTGGTGATATCATGTTTTAGAGTGCAATAAAAGGCTGCTGGGACTTACTGACAAGATGCTCAAAGTCAACATCAGTACAGTCAGATGTATTCATGATAAGAGCAAATGAATGGCAAAACATTCCAAAAAGGGAAAGCAGCTGGACTAAAACAGATATTTTAAATTGATGTTTTGCTAATGAGATACTCTTTGCTTTCCTGCAGGTACACTTATGATCCATTTAAAACCAATCTCTCCCTTTCCACATCAATGTCCTGCGTAAATGTGCCATTTTTACCTACCCATAACTGTCACATAGCAGTATTTCATGGCAGTAAGAAGCTGCACACACACATTTCTGCAGCTTACGCTTTTATGTTCGTGAATCGTTGAATGTTCTCCAGCAGCTCAGTATTGTTCAGAGTGGGATCTGTTCAGGGAAATGGTATTATGTTCTGCATGCAGATTTCTGACCAGATCTTACAGCTCTGCTGGCAGCACATTAAGAAAAACTAGGTTAAGCATCTTCAAAGGCTTGGGAAGAAAAATGCACAGTGGATTTGGAAGCTATGGCGATGTATTGCACCTCAGCTTTAGAAGCATCTAACAAATGAACACTCTGCGGAGACCCTATTGATCTTTCCCAGAGACATTTGAAGAATACAACAATCTAATTTGTTTAACAGCACCTCATGCCATCTGTGCCAATACACTTGCAACTGTTGAAGAGGGATGACACCCATTCCAAAGATATTCAGCATTTTAAAACTCACTGGCTTCCAAGAGGTGGGTCCATTAAATCTTAATGAAATGGAGAGCTATGTCTTTTTATGCATTAAATTATGAGCAGATGTAAATGTGTCAGCCTCCTCCTCCTCCAAAGCCTGCGTGTTGAGACTTTTAATCAAGCTTCTGTAGAAAGAATACATCGGTGCTGCTTTCAGCATTCCCATAGAGAGCTGTGAAGACAGCCAGGGAAGGAGAGTTATGTCTGGCACAAGCCCCCAGTGGCCACTGTTATCCACCTGCAATCTCAACATATCTCCACTACAATTAAGTATTGCTGGCTTCTGGTATCACAAGCTATATCTAACTATTAAGCAATGCCTATTCAACGGCACAACAACAACATGATGTCCACGGCAAAAACCAATAAATAAACATGCATCCAGAGTCAATACAAATTCAGAAATCTTGTCATTAAACTAAATAAGAAAAGGATGATTATTGAAAAGCATTTTGGTTAAAGGTGGGGTAGGTAAGTTTGAGAAACCGGCTCGAGATACACTTTTTGTTATATTCCATGGAATGCTCTTAACATCCCGATAGCAATGAATATCTTAAGTGCTTTGACAAAAAATCCCAAAAAAAATATCATTTGTGGAAGCCTTAATACTGTAAAAAGTACGACCAGTCATTTTAGCCGTCCCGGCTCAAGTAACTGGATGGCCTACCTGCCTGTCAGCCTTCCATCTGTGCACAAACTTATCCCGTGCCCTCATTGGTCATGTGCGCATTCGTGTGTGTTGGAGGAGGGGCTCTGTAAGGAAGTTACATAGTCCAGATTTTTTCCGGCTGTGTATTTTCAAATTCTAGTGCACTCGAGCTGGTTTCTCCAAAATTACATACCCCACCTTTAAATCTCAAATTCCATGGATTACTTTGATATATTTTTCTTATCTGGTTATATTTCTTATATGTCAATTATCCTGACATCACAGTTGTTTTATTCATACAGTACAGACCAAATATTGTGTTTTTTATATGGGGGATTATTTTAGAAAGAGAAATACATTTTCACAATAATCTGATGCATTTGTTGTCCAACTCAAAGATTGGTCTTGGGAGCTCATGTCTTGTCTTTTCTGACAAGCAGCCCAAGACTTATAGATATTCAAATTGCTATTATATAAAAAAGAGAAAAAAAGCAACACACCTTTTCCTCCAAATAGCTTGAGCTAGACATGTATGAAAATGTTTGCTTCAATTAAACATGTTAAATGACTAATTCACTATCAAAATTGTTATAAAGAATAATTATCTGTTGAAAAATTAAGTGATTCATCGACTAATCATTTTAGCTCGAACCCATCCACTTACTACCTGAACTAAACCATTACTGTCTCATTTGTGACAGAGAGGAGGAGGCTGTTTTGAGATAGATATTTAATAGAGAAAATATGATGTGTACTGTCATTTTCAGCTAAGAACCATTTTATTTACTTTGCAAATAATGATGATAATGTTTCCTCCTTTCACCAACCACCATATTCAAAAAAACTCAAACAGTTCTGAACCAGCACTCAGATACGAGTGTGAAAACTTGGGACGTGTCACCTGTGGGCTTGAGGTCTTACCTGACAGGCTTGATAGAGCAGCTGGTGCTCAAACTTTTTGATGCCGAGGATATTCTGGAACATCTCGTACAGCTGGTCCTTGCTGAGGATCAGCTCAGAGGCCGCGCTGGCAGTCATGCGTTGCTGCGCCTTGCGTGGATCCTCGTCACCGCGGTAGATGGTGTCGAACTTGGCCATCCAGGAGCTGAGCACCGTCTCCTTGCTCAGACCGTCGATCTCTGGAAGGCTGCGTACGCGCTTCTCGATGTGCCTCTTGAACACTTCCCTGAAATCATTGGCCGAGAAGCCGCCGCTCTGGACCATCTTAGCCACACGGTCACTCTTTAGGAACACCTACATCGTGGGGGACCAGATGTCATTAAATGCAGTTTTGTAAGAGATAAACAGAAGTGTTTTTATTTCAAATTATTCATTATCATTTGCAAGACATCCAACACTCCTTTATAGTAGAGTACATGGCATAGCTTTCCTGTCACATTCTTTTCTGTCTCAAACACAAAATGTCTGTCTTCATCAGCCAAAGGAAACTGTTCCTATTACATTTGAATTGAAAAATCAGAGGCATGTACGTAAAGCTGTGACTCAACACGGCCAAAGCTACATTCTGTCTCCTGCTCATGACAGCCTAACAGGGACAGAGACAGGCGAGGCTATATTGTCACAGCTTCAAGCAAAGTAACCAACAGAGCTGACTGCTTTGTCACTCTTGACAGTCACATTTTGTTCTCAGAATCCTTTAATGGCGGAAAAACAGCAACAACTGTACTGAAAGATTACAGTACAGTTATACATTACGCTTGTCATTTGGTGTATGTAGGGTATAATAAAGGTTTGAAGGGTTGATATAAATAGGATGTTTGTTTCTAGTTTTGCAGACCAGAGCATTAGGGAGCATATATTTGCCATAGACAGAACACAAAGCAACCTGTGATCCTCATCATTTAAGTCATTAGTATCCCTGGCTTGTACAGTACGATAACGATGCCACTTAAAGATGATGAGTTAATTAAAATAAATAAAGTAAAAAAACGGCTTACTGCCACAAATAACCAGAGCGAAAAAACTAATACTTATACTGTATTTACACTATTATGCTTTCCAAAAGCCGAGTAAAAAATCATCTTTAAACAACAAGGGATTGCAATTCTAATTTGGAACCTTTTCAAGCTTTAACCCATAATCATTGTTGGTATTAAGCTATACAATATAGTCTATTTCCCATTAACCTTAAATATATATATAAATAAAATATATTTAAAAAAAGCTGTCACCCACAGGTCGTCCTGTAATTAACCTCCATGGCAGTCCATATGTGTTCTGATGGTTCCCACCACAACATTTATTTTTTCATAATGGCTAATGCTTGTTTTTCCTTTCATGGATTTGGTCTTTAACATTTCCCACTATCTGTAATGCCTTTTCTACTGTATGAATGGTAAGCCACACGCTCTGACTCATAATCTGTGTGCTGAAAAGCTTCAGCCACCATTTTACCACTCAGCCGTCTGAATGCAAGCATTTTGACATGAAATAACAGGAGGACTGTGCTTTTTCGACACATTTAGACTGAAGGCTGGTCATTTCTGGTTTTAAATTTGCTGCTAAAGCAATCCAGAGGATGTGACGCACATACAATAACACATATTGTTCATCACATATGTCAAAGATTGTTTCAAATGTAGAAAAGATGATAAAAAGTCAGCTGGGTTTTTACATTTGAAAAATTAGGCCTTCATTTCAAGGCATCAAATCCCTGCATTTGGAAAACAAATTGTCTTTTCAATGTGAATGTAATGCTAGGGCTGTTGTGAGTTGGTACCTCATTGTAGCTCTGCACAGCGTTGATGAATGCCTCATCAGCCACAATCTGTGTGTCTCCGTTGAGGAAGGCCTGGAAACGGTCCTTGGTCTGCCGAAGCTGCTGCTCGGTTATCTGTGGGAGCAAGGGCAAACAGAGGACATGTCCGTGTTAAAGCCATACGGAGATGTATTAAAACAAGCAGACAATAGTTTATTTAATTTACAGCTGAAACAAAATATTTTTGTATCTATTTTTGACCAACCGATTCTGTGCAAGCAGAGCAGCAAAAACATCCTTTTCCCAGGATGCTTCTCCAAACTCCTGGGGAACACTAAACACTCCCAGTCCACGTTAGGACATCTATTCCCTGTAGCTTTCCAAATGTTCCTCTGATTCTTTTTCACACAATTATGCCCTGACCAAGTGTCGCAAACAACATTAACAGTCTCCTGTCACAGTAAAGGAGCTGCATCTCAAATACAAATCTATTATTTACAGTGTGATACCAAGCCTACAGTGCTGCAGCCAGTGCCCTTGAGCACTGGTTAAAAGCTAATCTTAGTATCCTTTTTTTCCATCGCTCATGAATGAAACCCAAAGATACCGGAATACTTTTACTAAGATATTCCCCCTTCCTAACCTGACAAGAGCAATCCACCAACATGACTGCATCACACTGAGCTGCAATTGATCCATAGATTGGCACAACATGCACGTCCCCCAGAGGAGGAATCCTATTGGCTTTGATCATCCCCTCATTTTTATTTCTTTAAAGCCACCATGAGGTCCACGTTTGTGTTTGTTTAGCCTCCACATCTATTGGATGGATTGACATTGAATCTGGCACAGGCATTCACTTCCCCCTCAGAACTTTCGCAAAATTCAGATTTTTCATCTTGCGTAATCATCAGGTTACATTTTTAGTTTGTCCAAAAATGTGGTTCATAATCGAAAACGTAAAGTCACAGTCAGATTAGGCTCAGCTTTAGTTTATGGGTAAGATAATATTCAACCTACTAAATATAAAACAATTATTAATGCATGCATTATGTTGCACATGTTATGATGTTTTCTCCATCTATCCTCTTTCTTTTACTTTCGATTCCTCCCTCGGGTCTAAATGTACTTGAATACATCTCACACATAGTTCCTGAGTCACTGACCTAACCATCAATAGACTGACATTCTCCTCCTGACAAATGCTTCCAGTTTACAGTTGATGTGTATCAAACAAGGACGTGGTAACGTGTTTGCATGCATTCAGCCGCACATTGCGAGTGACAGACTTTGGTGTAGGAGTGAGATGGAAAAGTACCACATACTGTATCATGCCTTTGAGGCAATCTCAACACCATCTGCGTGTCCATCTCACCATCTAGCCCCCCTCCCCCCACCCCTCCCCTTAAGTAATGTTCAGAACATGCGTATCATGTAACATAAGCAAAGCCAAAGTTAACCTTCAGCCTATAGGAAAGATTTACAAAGGTGCATATAAACAAATAAACACATATAATAATGTCAAACACTGCAGGTTTTCAAGGACATGACCTCTCCATCACTGCCTATAAAAAAAACGGAAAGCCTCACAAATCATTTCACCAAAACCTCCACTCCTACTTGATCCAATTTACGATAGCTGCAGAAGAGTGGATCTCAGGATGATATACCACTTAATGTCCAAATGTAAAAGATGCACTTAACAGCACGTCAACAACATCAGAGATCAATACTCGTGCTTCTGCTTTAAGGTTTCGGGTGTATTCATCTTTGCAATATAGCTTCTGTAGATGTGAGATTAAAGACAAACAGTGGACCATCCCTGTCGTGTTTTAATAGAGCAAGGTGTTCCAGGAACAGCTTGAGGCAAGACATGTTAATAATAACACCAGTATGCAAATCAGTTCAGTCTGTGGAGACTCTCCGAGGGTGAAGTCTATATAGCTGTCCTTGGTTTCTTGTCCGTTTTAAAATAGTGAAAGGTTAAAGATAAATACACCACAGTTTTTACTGTGTATGGCCTTTCCTCATAACGTTCATTATAATGTACGTGTAGGGAATAATGCACCAACAATACTTTCCTTTTCTTTTCTTTTAAGAACATGTTTCCTATTAATTCCGAAAAAGTCAGGTACATTGTATTTATGAAGCCCAATCAAATAAAGGCCTGAAGGGGCTTAATATATTTGTAAAGTGTACGGCACTCTCTATTCTTAAACCTTTACTTTGGATAATGAAAACACTTTTTTAAAGAAAAGCAGCTGAGGAGGGACTCCCTGGACGGCGAGAAATAGGGCTACGGTTTTCTCAGCAGGAGTCCTTTTAGGTTAAACATTTTAAGTAGAAGGAAAATATATATGCATACATGCTCAGGCTGAATTGTAGGTTTGCTAAGTGATGATTAATTCACCAACAGGGAAGGCTACACCAAGAAAGCATTGTAAACAAATGGATTGTGCAGTATGCTAAGGTATGAGCTGAGATGGTTTCTGTTTAAGAGCTGCTGGGCTTCGAGGTGAAGGTACAAAAGCAGAATTAAACCAAACTGACTGAAATGTTTTAGAGCGATGCTAGCACTTACACTTCTGGACCTGTGGTCATTGTAGCTTTCTTGAACACACACTCTGGTACATACAGTATACCGACAGCATTGCTGTTTAAACCCCCCAAAAGCAATCAGACTATGCTGTTCATACTAAGTAGATCATTGATAGGTTGTATTGCATTTTGTTAGGAGCTCTAATTATATGGAACAATGACTCTGTTGATGATTGACAGACAACCATTTGTCATTATTTAGATAATTGATCAGCCATTTCAATTAAAGGTGAGGATTTGACTATTCTAATTATCTTTGGGTTTTGAAAATGAAACACATACTTTGAAGAACATTTCATGAGATCTGGGAAATTTCTTTGGAAATGTTTTCACTATTTTAGATGAAATGTTTTATCTGGAAAATAACTTCCACATTAATCGGCAAAAAAAAGTATCCTTTGTTGCAGCCGTGACCGTAATCCAAGTGGCCTGTATTAACCTCACATATTAACTTTTCATTCCCTTTTCGCATAAAGCTATAGAAGTATTACAAAGACATTATAATAAACTAGGAGATTGGGCATTGGCAGTCAGCCAAACACCGGCAGAACACATTTGTGTTGTACCTGAACATTTTACCACGAAAGGTCAAAGCTAATAATACTTTTGCTTCTGCTGATAGTTTCTCTCGGCCGATCCGACTTTATGTGACAACACAGCAAGCTGTGTGTGTGTGTGTGTGTGTGTGTGTGTGTGTGTGTGTGTGTGTGTGTGTGTGTGTGTGTGTGTGTGTGTGTGTGTGTGTGTGTGTGTGTGCGCGCGCGCTTGCGTGTATGTGTGTGTGACACCGAAGTAGACAGCAGCAAGCAGAATGTGTCCACTCCACTGAAAGAATAGCTCAGTCGCATAAAGTATTTTTGACTTTCAGATCAGCATACTCTTTATTTCATTGCTGATTGGAGAACTGTGCTGAATAGTAACCAAATTGATGGGTGAGAGAAAATGCCTCCATTTCCATCAGTATTTTCAGACTCTCAAGACATACTTTTCCTGCTTTGCACATATTGATTCTCTCTCTGTGGCTCTTATAAAGATTGCAGGGTTGCATTGGGATTCATTGGCTTCCAATGAAGTGGGCAGTGACATTAATCACCCTTCACATATCAATAGAGGGGATATGCACGTTGCATTGGCTTGATGTACAGTAACTTTATTACAGTTCAGAATGACTATGGATTGGAGTTTATTGGTCGATACACTACAGTTGTGGCTGATTCGACATCTGAGTCACTTTCAAACATTTAACGACAAAATAACTTTTAATTAAAAACTAGTTCGATTTTTTAATTATGAATTTGTTTTGTAGTTGAGGTCCTACAACAGAAAATGGTAATTTTCCATGTATCACAGCATATACATGAAGTCACAAATAAACATAATTTTAAGTATGATGTATAGAATATGTAAGGCCATTGGGCCCTAAATCTGGTTCATAGTTTGAAGCCCCCTCAGGCAAATATCTTGTAGAAATGAAAGCTGTCTTTGGTGATTCTTCAGAGAACCGAGAAAGGATATTTCAACTCACTGCTTTGTCAATATCTGTGGAGCATTTTTAGTATTGCAGTCATATTCAACATGACAGAAGTATCAGGTAGCTAAAATGTGTAAATAAAGCATAATAATAGCAGTTGAATAACAACTGTAATATTGTACTGTAATTATATTTAATGAATTAGATTCTATTTTTATTTAGTATGCTATTTCTTTGAGTTTTTCATTCAACCTGTCTTGGAAGGTTTACAGCATACTGTATCCGCTGCCCTTGCAGTACTGTGATAAGTGAAGTAATTAGCTAATTGAATGCAGTACACAGTATATACTGTAGCTCGTTCAGCATCATAAAGCTGACTCACTCTTTAGCCTCTTTAGAAGTTACATTACGTCAAATTAAGGTGGTTTCCAAAATGAAATGGCTGCAGAATATAGGAGCCGGGCAGTTTTCAGAGGGTGGCCCGCTACAGCAGTAATTTAGTCATAAAAGGTATTACAAAATCATACAAGTTTGGTTAATAAAAATAACTCCTAAAAGATGCATATCAATGCTATGTAATGTTGGCTCAGTGGATAGTGTGCTGGACTTCGAATCAGGGGGTAGCAAGTTTGAGTCCCACTGCAGTCAGCATGTCGTTGTGTCCCTGAGCAAGACACTTCACCCCAAATTGCTCCTGTGGGGATTGTCTACAGTACTGAATGTGTGTAAGTCGCTTTGGATAAAAGCGTCTAACAAATGACATGTAATGTTAAGGAAAAGGGCAACAAGCTCAAGCTAAACATGCGTTTTCCTATTAAATAGATTCCAAACATCAAAATGTCAAAGTCTACCTAGAAATGAGGACTAACTTTCCTTTCATGAGATCAAAACAGCAAATGAATGATTAAAGGCTGTCATGCAAACTAGATGTTTTTATTGAGTTTATATCTGTTTGCTCAGGGAAGAGCTGCCAACCAATAACGCTGTTGGTTTTGAGCAAACGGGGCATATTGAATCCTCTTGCCAGACAAAGAATATTTTCGTCATGTTGCAGATGACACCTCCA